TCGGGTTTTACTCGCACTTGCGAACATTGCGCAATAATTGGCCAATAAGAAGCTCCTGTTGGCCGGTATGACGTCAAACTCACGCGTGTAGGTGCAATTTGACCTTGCGAATTCATTTCTGGCCTTGGCAGGGTCTAGCCTCCTCCGCAGGCCTCTCTATGGGTTCTAGCCTGCGAATGGGTTTGAAAAAAAAATTTTCTGGGAGAGAGGCCTGCCATAAATCGAACAAAATGGACGTGTCAATGTACCTTGTGACCGTGTCAATGTACCCCACCCCCTAAGTAGGCTTTTGACCCTAATTATATATTCAGTTTAAAATCTTCGGGCGAGGAGCGAAGCTTGCGAGTATTAACTTTAAAAATGTTTTATAATGCATCGAAATATTCAGGTTATACTAAAATTAGTTGGTCAATTGAAAGGATTATATATCGCAATGTCTCTCGCGGTCTAAAAACGACGTGCAAATTTAATTGAATCGCTCGCTCGAAGCAGCCAAATGTTTACAATGTATCAATTGTTCAGCCGAGGAACTACAATTTGAGGAAATTATCTGGCATAATTTCGAACGCAAAACGAAGAATGGAACGATACGAAAGGTATAATTTGTTTAATAAAGGAATTATATTAAATTGTATTGTTTTCTGGAATATTATTTTGGCATGTTTATTTATATGAAGGGGTTGACATTTTGATTATATTTTACTAATTTTAGTCAAATCATCAGACATTTGGCAACATGTTAAGTGAATTGATATATAAAAGGAAAAGATCTTTCTGTTGAAGCAACCATTTCAATAAGTGAGGAGAGATAACAACTTGGAAATATCAACTACAGAAATTTGATTACTACAAAAATCAAGATTTTGTTGGCATCTTAAGCCTGGTTTACATATGCCTGCATTATCATTGTTTACAGCTGTTGATGCATACATTCTTTTGTGAATTATTTAGTTGAACTTTTAACCATAGATTAGGAAATGAATAGATGACTCACTCCTTTGATGTTTTTGACGCTGCCGGCACCCACGCATGTTCTTGCCAGAGTAATGGCGGCCTAGCAAGAACTATAATAAAAGGTATTGTGAAATTGACATCCGTGCTACTAAATCCTATATTTTTCCGCTTTCGGGGGTTTAAATGGAAAAATAAATCAGAATTATAACAATACAGGATTTAGTAGCACTGATGTCAATTTCACAATGCATTTTACTACAGTTACTTGCTAGGCCGCCATTACTCTGGCAAGAACATGTGTGGGTGCCGGCAGGGTCAAAAACATCAAAGGAGTGAGCCATCTATTCATTTCCTAATCTATGCTTTTAACAACAATAGCGCATCAACAAACAGCAGGTATATATGAACCAGGCTTCACTTGGTTGAATAGTTAACTGGAACTCACCCCCTTAATAAGGGCTTAATTAATATCATGTGAATATGCTAAACCCATTAAGTTGCATTGTGACACATGTAACAACCTCTTTCTAATATAGTATATGCCTAGTTGTGTTACACGTACTGGCCACATGACATCCATGATTTGATAAATAAAGAAATTGAAGATGTATCTGCATATTCTCTAATTATATGTATCTCCCTTGTTCATGTTTAAATAAAATTGCTCTTGACATATATTTGTTTTAAATATAATAAATCTAGATTGGCATGTATCATGTAAGAGCCTACAATGCCAGGGGCCCACAACAAGTTCTTGTTGTCTCATTGCTTGCCGGCACGCCCCTGCTTTTACTCTGTCTAACATCAGACAATTTTACTATTCCAGGGGAGAGTACAAACAATGGGCTAATCTAAAGCTTCACAGCTTACAATTAATATGTACCCACCATTGAAAGACTTTTGGGTGGTTAATGTAACAATTAATAGCAAAACATGCAGGGATGGATTTACTGGGGGGCACACCCCCCTCCCTAGCCCTGGCCAGGGGGTATGTGTGTGCTATTTTTCATGATAAAGCAAAAAATATTAGAGACAAAATGAGATATTGTACACAGTACACTTGTACCACATGGAAGTTGTTTTGCCAAATTCTCAGAATACTGCTGTTGCTGTATGTTAATGGGCGGGCTGCACACATGACAACACAACTCGAGTCACTCGACACCAGAGCTGGCAGAGCACCCCCCACCAGATCATGCTGGATCCATCCCTGAAAACACGTCTATCACCGGGAAGTTTCGTCAGTGACTGTTTGTATGGTTATAGAGAAATTTGCCTTGCAAATGGATTTTACCCATGTAAATATTTTGTCTGTGAACTTTGGCAAGCAAAATGGAATGTATGTAATGCCTCCATTGGTTAATTAACAAATCCAAGGCAAATGTTATTAAGACAGGTCTCCATACATGTTGCACCACATGGAAAACTATTAGATTCTTATTAAATTCCAGTTGTCCTTTCCCTTATGTCTACATTACTCACACCCATATATAAAACAGGGCCACTGATTTAAGAAAGCTTTTGCTAATTTTCGTCACATCTGAGACACTCAAGTTTGAAAACTTTGTCTTTGTCCAAGGGATAAATTGCACAGTGTATTCCACAATAAGAAAGCTATTTGTTTAAGACTTTTATTAATGATTTCCTTCCATACAAGCGTATTAAAACAAAGCAAGAGGTGTTTATATATTTAATACGCAGTCACAGATGTCAACAGTTGAATTTACATTTGTATATTGACAATTTTCGATCGTTCCTTTTCGTGTTACAATTTCGACTAAATCACTGCACTTTCAGCTTATTATGATATAAAATGTCGTCAACAATTTGAATAGAAATTTGTATATATCGACGATAAACTTTCAATTGAAACCTTGTCTTGACAAATGTCTTGACATGAATCGACGACAACGTGAATTCACTGCTCTGCAAAGTCACTCGTCTCTAAACAATCCCAGTAAATCGCTGCGTCGGCTTTCGATAACGTTCTCAGCTCCTTAGTCAAAGTTCCCTTTGTATTTGCAATGTTGAAGAGCAGGATTATTCGTTAATTTTACAGTTTTACTCGTCTTGTAAGCCATCGTGTTGAAAACAAAATTTTCTTCACTCCTTGCCGTAAGCCCTTCCTACTCCCCCTAAGTTTGAGTTTGTCGAAATTTGCATGCGCGAGCCAGTATGCGCAGTGCAAATTTTTGTGTCGATTTATGGCAGGCATCTCACCAAACTTTTTCCCACCACCCGATTCGTCGGGTGAGATGCCTGCGGAGGAGGCTATATTTATACTTGACGCGACATTGAAGCTGAGGTCAGCAGATTGACCTTTACCCATGACATGATTTTCGACCAATCAAAATGTTAAGAGCGTTTTGAGAGGTGGACGTCAAATTTTGAAAGGTGGACATCAATTTTCGAGCACTGGATATCACAGTTTGAGAGGTGGACATAAGGAGAAAAATTTTGAACTGTCTTTGCCAGTGTAGTAGGTACAGTAGTGCCAATATAATGAACAAGCTTTCGTTGGTAAGGATGCGACTACCTGAAAATATATAAGAAGAGTTTCGACATTTCGAGCGTACGCCCTTCGTCTGGAGTTACTGGGCCTTCGCTCGAAACGTCGACATTTTCCTAATAGCCATATTTTTTGGTAGTTTCATCCCTACCAACGAAAGCTTGTTCGTTAAGACGAAAAATGGTTTTCATCGAAACAGTCAATGTAAGTTAGCTTTTAACGTTTTATCGTTATGGTTTGTCGGTGAACACGCAATTGATATCCAATGGAGAATCGATGTCCAATGACTTTGAGGTTCACCCCGCTTCGCTCGGTAGACATCAAAGCCATTGGATATCGATTTTCGATTGGATATCAATTGCGGCTCATCTCCAAATCGTGGCATAACTGATACTGTACAGTCTTTGCCAATTTCGGTACATTTGGAAAATTAATACAGTATATGGCACCCAAAAATGCGAAGGTACAGTAAGTTATACAGTTAAAAAATGTTTAGATTAGGTTTAGAAGGTTAGAATCACAAATTGTTGAGTTATACATGGAGATTCCCTTTGAGATGGCCTGCGTAGCAGGCGTTTAGTGCGGGCGGTAGAAGAGAGGGCAGGCTATGATCTGGAAACCCGGCAAACTTCAAAGCTACAAAAAGGCTTTTGTTTCATGTATCTTACCGCGTGCACAATTCTTTGTCTTAATTTCATTAAATGTTATTCACCGTGTTTGCACGTTTCATCTCAATTATTTATATTGGACCAGGCATAAACCCATACCAAAACATAATTCACCTGAGTACATTACACCAACACAGAAAAATGATATTCACCTGAGTACATTACACTAACACAGAAAAATCATGATTACTAGATTACATTGATATGGAAGGAACTACATTCTGTTCCGAAATATCACATACTCGAACCGACCTGATCGCGTAGCTCAGTTGGCAGAGGATTGGGCTGGTATTCCAAAAGTCGTAGGTTCGATTGCCTCCGTGGTCAGGCATATTTTTCAAGCTTGCCCGGTGTGGATATACACTCAGACTAACATTGCAAGCATCATATTCACCTGAGTACATTGCACCAACACAGAAAAAAATCATGATTACTAGATTACATTGATATCGAAAGAACTAGATTCTGTTCCGAAATATCACATACTCGAACCGACCTGACCGCGTAGCTCAGTTGACAGAGCATTGGGCTGGTATTCCAAAGGTCGTAGGTTCGATTCTCACCGTGGTCAGACATATTTCTCAAGCCTGCCCGGTGTGGATTTACACTCAGAGTAACATCACAAGCATCAAAATGCCTTCTGTTTTAAAGAATGAAGGAATCAGAATGTCTGCATCAGAATGCCTTCTGAACTTAAAAGTTCCCAGACCATCATATGTTGATAGAAAGTATGGGTTACTTGGTAACTAATCTATACATGCACTTGAGATGTATTTTTGCGCACAGATCATATTTTAAAACAATTAAACTAATGATATCAATCGACAAAGGAAGTTTTTAGCTTTAAAACGATACCTTTTGGATTAATATATGAGAAAATATTGTGTATTTTATGCCAAATACATGCATTTTATGTAAACATATATAACATGACGCTTTCTCCCTAATTGTTAATATGTTCACTCGTCATTTTCAGTGATCACATTCATAGTATACCATTGTTTTATTACTACCGTTTGATTCAGTTTATACTACGTTTCTCGTTTGTTTTCTTGCTCGCGTTCTGTGGTTAAATCGACTGTTTTATTTGCAGTGAGAGTGCAAGGGTTAAGGTTGCTCAAGGTGTTGCTGGTTCAGTGGTAGACAAAGGAACTATACATCGGTTTGCTCCTTACCTTATTACCGGGATACAACAAGGATGTCAAGACATTGGAGCATGTAGTTTGGACAAATTGAGGTGTGTTTTTTCTTGCTGAGCTAACTTTTATTGTCTTCTCATGCACGATAAGAAGTAACTGAATCAGATATACTCAAGTGGATTTCATATTTTTCGGCACTGGTTGAGAATGAATAAACTGTTATGCGTATAAATCGGTGTTTAATTAATAAATGTATTAATGTCGATGTATTCTTGAACTATATTTTCAATCTGTTATCATCTATACCCTAGAAACTGATTTAACGTTATTTAAATCATTTCCAGGACAATGACGTATAGTGGCGAGACAAGATTTGAGAAAAGGACAGTATCTGGTCAAATAGAAGGCGGTGTTCACGGATTGCATTCGTAAGTTTGCACAATCATCAAATAATAAACCTTCTTAAGTTACAATGCACCGTTTCAATAATTACGTCACGATTACTTCTTTGGCCTGGGAGCCTCGCTCTCGTATATCAAGGCAAAAGGCAATTCGTCCACGATTCATAAAAATGACGACTTGCATTTTCCTATGGGACATCGCATAACTTGGTTTTCCGCGTTTGATGTCATTGTAAAAAGGTCTATTATATAGAACTGAATTTAAATACGACCTTAAATATTTAATTACCATTTATTCTTTTTTTTAGATACGAAAAGAGGTTATTTTAGGCTTACAGTACGTCTGGTCAGGTGATTAGTGAATTCTATTGTGACTTGATGTAGTAAAATAATTTTCGTAACGTGCAGATATATGTATTATACAATATTCAGAAATACATTCATATATAGATTATATATACAGATCTATTGTTCTTTCGTTATGCTTGATATTGGGGATGTGCCATATTTATCTACAATCATAGAATATTTCGTTGGAACAGGAATGCTAGAATCCAGTGGCCAGACTGAAAGTTTTATTTTGCGCAGGAAATCTTTTTTTCGTCGGGAAAAATGCGCAGAAATGTTCACAGATAATTTATGGCAGACCAAGAGATCCTGCAGTCAGAAAGTGTTTTTGTCAAATAGGAAGATCAGAATACTGCTTTTGTCAAATAGGAAGATCAGAATACATTTTGTGCAGATTCTTTACAATTGCAAGTTTTTGCACGTGTTTTACAATTTGAATCCCTATTTCTCCTACCAAGTCCCTATTTGTCCGATTAGCACGCATGGCAAGACGTATCGCGAGATGGAGGGCGAGAAATAGGGCTTGTATACATTGGAGTCTGAATATTGTGCCGAAATAATTGCCAATTATACAAGGGCTGATGAGCCTGTTGCTATAATTGGGGTTATATGAGTGAACGAAGGGGAAAATATATGAGAATACAAGTGGTATGACTTCGTCTTTACCGTGCTTCAGACCACATTTTAACCCCATGGTACCCCTGAAAGTAAAAATATACAGCCTGCGTATGACCATAGCAACGCATTCCCATAATACCCCTGTGGCTTTTTAACACCAACGTAAAAAGGGTGGGATAGTATCTGGGTGGGTCTCATATATTTCTCCCTTCGTTCACTCATATAACCCCATTTATACCAACAGGCTCATCAGCCCTTGTATAATTGGCAGTTATATTTCGTGAACTCCGGTCGCAATATATGAGAATACAAGTGGTAGAGTTCAACACCACACCATTGATGTAGTTGAATATATTTTAATGATGTATCTGAGTAATAATATACAAACATCCTGAAAACAATATACAAATAATGAATGTTTATGAGTGCAATGGTAAGAATATTTTCATGAGGTGAAAGATGGAATGTTCCATTCAACGAGGCGACAGCCGAGTTGAATGGAACATTCCATCTTTCACCTCATGAAAATATTCTTAGTTTTTTTTTCTTACCATTGCACGAATAAAAACATTCATTATTTGTTTTATATAATACCAAAATAGACTAATATTAAAAGGTTTACTGTAAGCTCCCGCCATTTTGACGAGTCGTATTTGCATTAAATCCCATTTACTGAGTTTCGAATATTGGGTTAAAATAAACTGCGATCACCGTACGAGAAGCATTTTGACGGATGCGATTTATCGAAAACACAAAGAGAGTGCAATGGAATAAAACGTATAGTACAATTGCACTCGCAAGAGTGCAATGGAACGTATTCCATTGCACTCCTGGGAAATGGAATTTTGTATTCAATATCACGTGACCATAAACAGCCAATTAAACGATCAGAATTCAATAAGGTATTATATAATGTAAACTATGAAAGCACTGTCTCTCCAAAACTGGAGGAAAAACCAGATTTATAATAAAATTGGCGAAAGGTAGAGGCATTGGACCAATCAGCCATGTTCAAAATCTCTTGAAGAGAAACTAGAGCATTAGCAGCTGCTGTAGTGGAAGCACCTCTCACCGAATGAGCTTTAAAAATTTCTGTGTCAATGCCTGCCTCCTTAATAAGGGACAGTATCCAACGAGCAATCGTTGCTTTGGTCACCGGGTGATGAGGTTTTATATAGGAAATAAATAGATTATTTGGTTTTCCTTGTTGTGCAACTCGCTTTTCTCTTGTGAGTGTTAAGTAGTGAGTAAAACATTTAGAGCATCGGTTTGGAAGGCCTCTGGGGTCCGGTCTCCAGCTTATGTACTGTTTGAGTTGCCGAGTCAGTCTGCTGGCAAAGAGGTCTGTCCAGCACTGAGACAAGAAAGGTTTGATTACCTGAGGGTCTAGCTTCCAGTCCGTCTCGTCCTGGAAAACCCTTGATTCTGTGTCTGCTAGGACATTGGATTTTCCGGGAACATGGTGGGCAACCAGATAAATGTCTCTGTGTATGCACCAATTCCATAGTTCCAGTGTTATCTGAGTAAGTTCCGGGGAGTGGGTCCCTCCCTTGTGGTTGATGTAAGAGATAGCTGTTGAGCCGTCCATGTTCAGACTGACCATTACCTGGCGTTGATTCTTTAGCAGGGATTGGATTGCTGATAATGTCCCTTCCAGTTCGAGTAGGTTGGTGTGCAACAATCTCTCCTGAGATGACCATCTGCCGTTCGTCCTGACATTGTTGCAAACAGCGCCCCAACCCATTTTCGACGCGTCGGTAAATAATAATATATCTGGGGGTGGTGCCACTATTTGGCTTCCGTTCACCTGTCGTATGTTCTCCAACCACCATGCTAGTTCCATTTTGGAGGCATTTGACAGGTTGGTATTGATGTACTGGTGATTGTGTTTCGGTAAATCTCTGATTAACTGTGCTTGGGGATGGCGAAAATGCAGAGGGGCGGCCCTCCAAATAGCTGGGCGGTGAGATAGAGTACACCTAGGAGCTGGGTTTGCATGTGCAGTGAGACAGACTTTGCCATAAGTATTTGACGGCAGAGTATTAGAGTTCTCTTCACTTTCTCTGAGGGTAGGCTTATCTGTCTGGAGTTTGAATTGATGATGCCCCGCTTCCTTAGAAATACTGCAACTGCTTTCAACAGTTTGGTGAACACTAGAGGGGCTACATTCAGCCCAAATGGCAGGGCTTTGAATTGACATGCCTTGTTTTTCCAAATGAAACGAAGAAATTTCTGTTATTTCAGGTCGAGTTTTATTATGAAGTCTCCCTGTTTGAGGAGTGATTTATTTGATTGAAGACAAGTTTTCCATTTGGAAATGTTTGTTTTCCACAAAGTTGTTCAATGAGCTTAAATCTATCAGCACTGGGCGCATGCTGCCATCTTTATTATTATTATTAAAACTTTATTTAGGCACGGTATTACTCATCAGGATTTACATTATATGGGCTACATTAACTAAACTATATTACAAAAACTACGGTGGTTACAAAGTTATCTCTATACCTGCTTTCCATGAGGGCCGTGTATTAAAAATAGCCATTAAAATTTATAAAAGACTTCTACAGCCCGCTCGAAAATTGTCAAGGACTGTGCTTGCCGTAACCCGATTGGAACACTGTTCCACAGCACAGCGCCACTATAACTAAAGCTGTTTTTCAAATAGTTTGTGCGAGGCATAGGAACAGCTAATTTATTCTCAGTGTCACGCAATTGGATTGAAGTTACACTTTCACGATCAGTAAACATGGAGTGCATATAGTCGGGAGCTAAACCATTAAGAGATTTATAGACCATTACAGCCTTTTGAACTTTACGCTGAAAGGAAAGTGTTTTCCAATTGAGCTTTTCAAAGAGTGAATCGGCATTAGTGTCATAGCTAGAGAATGTTAAAACGCTGGCTGCACGATTTTGTAATTTTTGGAGCTTTTCAGCATAAGTTTTATTACACTTATCCCAAACTGAACAACAGTAGCTGAAATGAGGCTGAACTACAGCGTTGTAAACAAGCTTCAACGTTGTAGCAGGAATAAAAGAACGTACACGTTTCAAAGCACCAATACCAGAAGCAATCTTTATTAAATCATTGATATGGGCATTCCAAGACAGGTTTTCATCAAGCTTCATCCCAAGGGACTCCGTTTGAGAAACTTGGCGAACAGGATGTCCATTGATTGCTAAGGAAGGGGCCGAGTGTAACGTGCTTAATTTTTGTCTTGACCCAATTAGCATGAACTCTGTTTTAGATTGATTGAGAGTTAGGTTATTGGCTATGAGCCATTTATTGACATTATCAAGATCTTGATTAAGCTTATAGTCCATGTCATCAACATTATTGCTAGCAAATGTTAAATTAGTGTCATCAGCGTACATACGTGGTTGGGAATGTGTCAGGCAATTTGGTAAATCATTAATGTAGATAAGGAAAAGCAAAGGTCCTAAGATAGTCCCTTGCGGGATACCGCAAGGCAATACGCGTTGACTGGACAGATGACCATTGACATAACATTTTTGATTGCGATCATTTAAGTAGGACCTAAACCAGTTGCCTGTAGAACCTCCAAAACCATATGCGCTTAACTTTGACAGCAATATTGCATGATCAACAGTATCAAACGCCTTCTTGAGGTCTAAGAAAACGACGGCATTAACGTTGCCCCGATCAATATTGTAAGACCAGTTATTAGTAGCCTCAAGAAGTGCGGTGACAGTGGAATGAAGAGTTCGAAACCCTGACTGGCAATTAGATAAGAGGTTATTATCCATAAGATAGGCATAAACTTGATCATAAATAATTCTCTCAAAAACTTTCGCCACCACTGGAATTATAGAAATTGGGCGATAGTTATTTACATCCCTACGCTCTCCCTTTTTAAATAATGGAATGACTTTTGAGCATTTCCATTCGTTGGGGAATGTACCAGAGTTAATAGAACAGTTAAAAATTGCACATATTGAATCGGCTATTAGGTCGGAACAATCGCAAAGTAATCTGGCTGATATCTTATCCAAACCCGTGGCTTTAGATTTGCAAGGTTTAGACAAGAGGGTACCAACCACCGACGGACTAGTTGTATTTAGTCGAAAATTATGATTAGATTGACTTGGCAAGTAATCAAAGTGTGTACCACCATTCCCAATATAGGGAATTTTCTGAGCAAGCTTAGAGCCTATGCTAGCAAAATGATCATTGAACACCTCGGATAACTCATTAGGTTCACTGACTAAGGAACCATTTGTTTTAACTTCTTTGACTTGTGAACTAAATTGCTTCCTTGAAGTAAGTTCGTTTACAATACCCCAAGTCTTTTTCATATTTTGTTTGTTTTGATGGAATGCGTTCTGATAATGAGTTTCTTTAACAAGTTTAATTTCATTTGTTACATAGTTTCGGAAAGTCTTAAATGCAGCCCAGTCATTAGGATCTTTTGAACGAATAGCCTTCTTAACTTTTAGAATATCTCTTTTGTGCATATGTTGTTTTAATTCAGGCGTTATCCACGGTGACTTAGAAGATCTGACACGCCTCGTGCGTAAAGGAGCATGCTTTTCAACAACATTATTAAATGTGTTTTTCCAAACCCGCCACATATCATTTGGATCGTTAAAGTTGTTTACAGCGGTCCAATTCTGTGCACAAATGTCAGACCGAAAACTATCAAGGTCAAAGTTTTTAAATTTTCTATATCACGGTAGAATGACCTTTATTGTAAATGTCTGTTGAAAGCTTTCGAAAAGCATAAATTAAGCTATGATCACTAATGCCGACATGTGAAACACCAGAGAAAACAACCTTATCTGGAGCATTAGTAAAAATGTGATCGATTATAGTCGAAGATGACTCGGTAACACGTGTGGGTTCATTTATCAGCTGATGCATACCATATAAGTCAGCAATGTCGGTTAATGACCTAGAGTTATGGTCCAAAACAGATGCGCCAAGGTCGCAATTTAGATCGCCTAAAAGATAATATTCGACATTTTCTGAATCAAGCCTACCAATAAATGACTCGAAATAAGAAAATTTATCGTTGGTAAAATCAGGCGGCATGTAGTAAAACACTGACTACCGGAACACCGGAACACCGCCGGAACACCACCGGAACACCACCGGAACACCACCTAACCCTAACCCCAACCCTAACCCCCAATCCTAACCCTAACCCCAACCCTAACCCCCAATCCTAACCCTAACCCCAAACCCTAACCCCAAACAAAATGGTGGTGTTCCGGTGGTGTTCCGGTGGTGTTCCGGTAGTCAGTGTTTTACTACATGCCAAATCAGGCGGCCTGTACCAAGTCGAAACAATGAATGGCTTAGAACTAGGTTTTCGAATTTCAATGCACAAATTTTCTAGTTGATAGCTAGACAGATCCAGGCGAGGCGAGAAATTTATGCTAGAGCGCACATAGAAGCAAACGCCCCCATATGTTTTCCCATTAGCACTACACATAGACCTGTCACGCCGTACGATTTCATAGTCAGAAATGTGTATCTCATTATCGTGTATACTAGCATCAAGCCAAGACTCATTTATAGCTAAAACATCAATCGGGTTAGTGGCAAGCAAAACCCGCAGTTCATCATTGAAACAATATGGCTGAAAACGTAGCTACAGCAGATCTGCAGCCTCCTTTACAAAGTGTGGTGTGGAATTATTTGAGAAGACGGCTTCTGTAAACAGAGCAAAGTGATTGAATTGTTCTTAATCGTATAAAAGTATTTGTAGCTAATTACCAACATACTAGAAGAATTACGCAATAAGTAATCGTTTGAGTGATCGATACTTCGATACTTGGTCCGAAAAGTAGTCGTAATCGTAATCGATCGATATTCTTGGTATCGCCCATCACTAAAAATTATCGTGTTACCATGACAACTACTTTAAATACTTCATGTTCGGAAAATATAATAGTTTTGTCAGAGGGGCGAGGGGTTTCTGCATGTATGTATTTTCTAGTATAGATAAATAATGTAAGACTGCCATTCTACGCCAAATTCTATACCAAAAAGATGATCGAAGATATCCGTTGTGTCGCGCGCCGTGTTTATCTGCGAGTGTCAATAGTCTAGTAGGAACTTTGAAGGAGTGGAGAGAAACACAAAACTACTTAGATTTCAGTATTTTTTGGTATATTTTTGTCTATGAGCTTCAGTGTACCATATTTTTACTACAAGAAGTACGAGTCTATATATTCACATGCAATAGGCCCCACAACTCACTGTGTGTACACAAATTCATTTAATTTGAATCTTACTTTACTGCACATTGTCACGTAGTTGTTCAAAAGTATACGCCACTTTTAGTACTGTCACTTCATCAAACATTTTACCAGTAATCATCATTCCCACAGGTAACCCATGAGAAAATCCAGCGTTGATGGACAAAGCTGGATGACCTGTGAGATTAAATGGGCCCGTGTTGTGGTTCATCTCATACGTTTTCTCAAGGTATTCTAGGTTAAAAATAATTAGGAATTAAGTTTTTAAATCACTGTTCTGACCACGCACCAACACCAAGCCTGAGAATAGTTTAAACGGCGCTATAATAGTAAATTATTTGGATTGCACTTGATGTCCTGAAAGGTGTATAGGATAATTAAAATAATACCAGGACGTCCTGGTTAAATCAACTAGGCAATAGGTTAAAATAAGCACGAAAAAGGTTAAAATTACCAGGAAAATTAACCAGGAATATAACCCAATTAAATAGGGTTATTTCTAAGTTAAATTAACCAGAAAATGTTAACCAATAATATGAGTGTTTTAGAGTGTCAGAAAGAATGCAATTTTCATTCTATGCTATTATTTACATTGTTACTGAAAATGAAAAGTTGATAGAGCACATAACTTTTAAGGAGTCAGTTTTAGAGTTTTAGCTTACACCAAGCATCTGGACTTCCAGTTTGTCAACATGAGCCGGATACATGTACAAAACTTTACGACAGTCGTTCTTAATTTTAATTTTAAATTATTGACATTCCCAAATGAGTTTTTCAATGACAATTTACAGTTACGATTAAAATGTAAATTGTATAAGTCCTGCTTTTAATTTAGATTTAAAATTGTTGATATCAACAATGGATTTTAAATCCTCGTTATGCAATGCGTTCCAGATTTTGGTTCCTCTGTATATTTGAATGTTCTTTGGAATGTTCTTGCTTGAAATCGCGGGATCTCCTATAGTGGGACCACCTATAAAGGGACTTCCTACTAGAGTCCGTCCGTTGCTAATTGACGTAAGTTTTTTTTGCAAGCATGGAAGAACCTTTATAAAATAACATGTATATAACGTGTGCTCTGATTGGTCGAAACCCGTGTTTGGATCAGAAATTTAAAGTGAAAGTTTTTTAAAGTGAAATTTTAACACGAAAAGTTGTTATTTTATAAAACAGTTACTTTATGGTTTCCGTGTTTGGATGGCCTGATCCAAACACTTGGGAATGTTGCTCGAGTTAAGAAAAGCGCGCGAAATCACGAGCCGAAATTGTATATTGCCACCCAGGGTACCCCTCGCGTGAAACTGCATAGATTTCCGTTTTTGACTGTAAATACTGCTGACGCCATATTTCATGAGAGAATGTACACTTGACGACGTTGACGTACTAATTTATGCTAAGCTCTCTATATATTCTAGCTGCCGCAGGCCCGCAGCTCTATAATGATAAGATCAACTTAGTATTAAAATTAACAGTATATATACTTACCAGTCAAAGAAGGATTCTTTGATGGAAATTGTGAAGCTTTCTTAGGAATGGTTGGCATGATAAGAACATCATACTTCTTGAACGCCTCATCATATGCCTGACGCACTTCTCGTCTTAAATTTTGAGACTTGCTATAATAATATCCATCATAATTTTTGTCACGAAGGTATCTGGAAAGAAGAAATGGCAAATCGTGAAATGCATGCTCTAATTCTATTAATTAAGAATACGTCAAGTACAGGTCTAAGTTGGTACAAATAAGTTCGGAACACATGATTTCTATTTCAAATTAAGCAATCCAAGAAAAGTACATCATTTAGTTGTGTGAATATGGGATTTAAAGTGGATTTGTTGAGGTAATTAATTAGTACCTATATAAAACTTAGAAAGCCATTTCAACCTGTCTGTCCGTGTACGTGCGCATGAAAGACAATTCTACCTCATCATAGTCTACGCGTCACATAGGAATCACGTAAGTAAGCTTTCGATCATGGCAGACGCCAAGGTGAATGAAGCAAAAGAAAAATCCAATTTTTCGGACGAAGACGAGGAAAGGTTGCTCGCCGAAGAGGGCGAACAAACACAAGATTATATCACCACCGGTAAGCGGCATTCAGCACAAAATGGCGGTGCGTTTGGTATGGAGCTCCGTGGTTTTGTTGTTTATTTGTCTTTACTTTGGATTGAAATGCAAAGGAATGATCTGTACTGGATATATGAAGACCGGTTACAACTTGTGTAATGTTGTATCCTTAGATAAGGAAGGGAATTTCAGCCGAACTAACGCGTCAAACATTAAGCAACCTTATAACAACTTATATATTAATAATATATTCGTTGTGAATACGTCTAAGTGCCGTGGTGATGACTTGTTGGCTTTTTCTGCTTACGAATCGAACAGCAAAGACATACATTTGACCTGTATATCATCTGGTCGGGCAATGCCGTTATTTCAAACTGGATTGGTCTTCATCAGCTATCGGAAAGGACGGAAAACTTGGTCGTTTAAACGAACTGTATACTATGCTAATACCACGCCAACCTTTCAAATATTACTTAAAAGTGGGGATATTGAAGTAAATCCTGGCCCCGAAATGATACAGCGCCTATGACTACACAGAATGGAAGACGAGCCTCACCTAGATGCACAACAGAATGTAAGAAATCTGTGGCTAAAAATCAGAAGCGCTATATTTGTACAGCATGTTTTGACTTTACCCATGCAAAATGCGCTAATCCACTGGCAGCTAAATTTATGTCTGCTATTACGCCGAAAGAATGGATTTGTCCTGATTGTACAATTAGTGTTCTACCATTTTATATGCATGAATTACCATGCTTATCGGACAATGACAGTTTACATCAAGAGCTCAATGAAAATATTAATACAATTGACATTCATCTTCAAGAACTAGGAAACAAAGAAACGCAGTTGAAAATCATGCACATAAATACCCAAAGCATGGTGTCAACTTTCGATGGGTTGTTGACAACTCTCAGCCAATACCCGTTTGACATCATTACAATGAGCGAAACAAGGCTCAAAGACAACGACTTGCTACTTCAACACTTAACTATTCCTGGTTATTGTCATACATTTCACAATAGAGATCGTACGAGAGGGGGTGGCGTTGGCGTGTATTTAAAGGAGTAATTGAAATTCAAAAGGAGAAAGGATATAGAATCTCGTTATTCAAATTTAGAACACTTGTGGATTGAAATACCTGGACGCAATAGAAACAGCAATCTGTTAAGAGGGACATTATATCGCTCTGAAAGTCAAATGAACTTTCATGACTGGTTACAAGACTTCGAGGAATTGTTGAGTGATTTAACCATATCCTGGAACGGAATGCTCCTTATAACAGGTGATTTTAACATTGATCTACTGAAACCTGATAAGCCCAATACTCGAAGGTATAATGAATTGTTGCAATCTCTCAATTTAAATCAAATGGTTACCAAGGCGACGAGAACAACAAATACTAGTTCCACGCTTATTGATCATATTATCACTAATTTACCTAAAAATGTCACATACACAGATGTCTTGCCATTCCCTTTGATAAGTGACCACGACGGACCTTACGTCACTGTCAACGCACGTGTCATTCGTTATGTACCAAGATATAAATACCTCAGAAATGAAAAACGCTTTCTTGAAAAACGCTTTCTTTTTCGAAACTGCCTTTCCAGCTGGTTTATGCTTTTGACAATCCTGATGATCAAATAACCACTCTCAACGGTCTAATAATTGAATGTCTCAATAGGCATGCACCCCTTCGGAGAACAAAATTGACTAGACCTCCTGCATCTTGGATGAAAGACACCGATATTCAAAGTCTCCAAAAAGAATGCAAGCAGAGTCGCTATGAAGCGCATAAGAAAGAGCCCACAAAATGAAGACAATTGGACTAAATTTCGATCTATCCGAAACCAATTGAAGGAGGTTATAAAGAAGGCCAAAACTGTATTCGTTGAGAAAGCGCTCTCGTCTAAGAGACCTAAAGACGTGTGGAAAACTATTCAACGTATATTGTACCCCAGTCCTCAACCTTTACGAATAGATCCGAATCAACTAAATAAACATTTTGCCTCAACAGCTGAGCGTGTCCTATAGCCTCGTCGCCACTAAATAGAGATGATTTATATTCGCTTCTGGCCTCATTACCACAAGACTCAAACTCGCCTTTCCAATTCCGCCAAGTTACTCACAGGGAGGTGTTGAACGAGATCAAACATCTAAGATCAGACTGCTCTACTGGCCCGGATAACATCCCTTGTAAATTCATCAAACTCGTCGCAGATCATCTCGCGTCACCAGTTACTCATATAATTAATAATTGCATCGCAAAGCAAACATTCCCATTGCTATGGAAAACTGCCCGCATTAGCCCAATACCCAAGGTAGACGATCCTCGTGGAAATGATGATTATCGGCCAATTTCAATCTTGTGTGTACTTTCAAAGGTCTACGAGATTAGCGTTACGCCAAATGGCGGATTTCCTCGGAAATAACACTATTTTTAATCCCAATAACAGTGCATATCGTCGAGGCCATTCCACCACTACTACCATGTTAGCTATCAGAGATGATATCCTTAGGGCAATGAAAAGAGGCGAAGTGACTATTGCAGTTCTGGCGGATTTTTCGAAAGCCTTTGATACAGTCGCCTATCAAATCGTGTTATCCAAGCTGCATCGCTTAGGATTTTCGAATACCTCCTTGAAATGGCTAATAAGCTATCTGACAGATAGAAAACAGTACGTCCAAGTGGACGATCGTTCTTCCGAGCGTGTTGGCGTAACCTTCGGAGTACCGCAGGGATCGATTTTAGGTCCAGTTAAATTTATACGTCAATGATTTACCTGACGTGTTGCCTCAAGAAATTGCTTGTCATCAATACGCGGACGACACTACACTCTACCGTCATTGTAAGCCATCTGATCTACAACAATGTGAATCGGAACTGCAATGTGCTCTCAATAACATGTCTTCTTGCTCTCAAGAATGTAACCTAGCACTGAATCCGGGGGAAACCAAGGCGATGCTGTTCTCGACTTTGCAGCGTTCCAGAGTTCACCTGCTTCACGAATATGTCACTGGCCTTCGTATAGGCGGAAACCAACTCGAACGTCTTGATAGCGCTCGATTGTTAGGTACCCAATTGCATCATCATTTAACTTGGCAAATATCCAGCTGTTACAAAACCTTATCCGTACTAAGAAAACTAAAGCATCTTGCTCCTTACAAGATCAGAAAGCAGTTATCTGAGTGTCTAGTGCTATCAAAGCTGGATTATAATGATATAGTGAGTCATCCAATTCCTGAATATCTCGTGAAACGTCTTTTTGTTGTCGGAAGGTATGCCACTAAATTGGATGTGTTGAAATTGGGATGGCTTCCAATCAAAGAACGAAGAGATTTTCGTTTGGCCTAAGCTACGTTTAAGACCTTGTACTTTGATCAGTGGCCTTCATACTTGAAGCTGGAGTTGTACACTCCTGGCAGAACATTGAGGTCATCCTCAGAAACCAAACTCACTGTGCTGCAAAAATTTTTAATACTTTACCCTTAGAAATTAGAAACTGTCGTGTTTTTAATGATTTTAAGCGAACTGCTAAAGCACACTATTTTGAAGTGGCAAACGAAAGATTAAATAGGGAATAATTTAATAATTAAGAATTATTTGAATTTGAATTTTAGCATGTTAATAACTTATAGAGCCTTTCTATTTTATAACAATTGTAGTATAATATATAGTTTTTTTTACAGATGAAGAGCCACTCACGTGGAAATACTGTAATAAAATTATTATTATTAATTATTATTAATGGCCTTTTTCGCATCCATTTTACTCCGAAACTTTCGTTTCTCGAAACGAAAGTTTCGTTGCGAAATGTTGTATAATGCGAATAATATAGCCTTGCGAAGTTTACCGTTTTTCAGTAATTTTGTATTACAAACGGGAAATTGATACCCCAACACCCGAGTATCAATTTGTGTATCAATTTCCCAGACAGAACAACGACAAATTTCGCAAAGGCTATATTATCCGCATTTTACAACATTTCGCAACGAAATTTTGGAATATTACTAATTTTGTGATGCTCTTTCAAGGTGTGATGAAATTTTTGTCTAGCCATCAAAATTTTAGTTATAAGGTTAAAGGTCCATTCTTAAATGTAGAAATCCAAAGAGCGCCGCGGTGCTTAAACGAGTAAATACGGTAAACTTTTTGGTTTACCTATAGACCCATTGCATATGACGTCACAGCGCCGGCGACGATGCATCTGGAGAACAAATTAGCAATCTATGCATAATATAACTTTTGTATAAACAAAGCAAATTTTGTAAAACTTTATAATAATTTTGTATTAAAATGGTTAGTTTTTGCGCTGCATGTGGTTGTTGTACCCGAACAGATATTGTTAGGCAGCATCTGGAGGACACTCTAAGGATTTGTGACGTCTGTGCAAAGGGTCTATACCACAGAGAAGAGATATATACAGAGGAAACACGCGGCAAATTATGTCACGCCGATATATTCAGTCTATTAACTATAGAAAATTATATTAATTCACTATTTTATGAATTATGAAATTTTGATAATGCAGAGAAATAAAACTATACATATTATATAGAAGTATTTATGTTTTTATGCAAGAGGTATATCATCGCTGCTTTGTTTTTTATACATGAGCATCTGAAAATCCCAGCCAGTGCTTTTCACGATTTTAATAAAGAGTAGATAGGGAAAAAAAAAACTTTTGCAAAATAAAATGTTATGTTAACACTTTTAATAAAAGAAAATCGATATAAGTGATCGCCTACCGTTATTCTACAATAATTTATCAGAACAAAATTTCCATGGGTTTCTCATTTTTAAAAAAAATCAATTTTCACCTTTCGAACGCCGTTTTCCCTATCTTTTGCTATAATTCAGGTTATCGAGTGTCAGTTTCCTCTCTGTATATCTCTCCTTTGCATGCCTATCCATCTCTAATGTTAAAATCTCCTTAGTCCTTACTGTAGAACATCCACTTTCCAAGGATCGTTCTTTAACCGAACAATTAAAACTTGAAATAATGTTGGAAAAATAGCCTCTCCTGAAAAGTTTGCCAGTTTAACAATTTTTAAAAGCTTTCTGCATGTGACATACACCGCATTGGTCAACAGTACTTTTAATGTTGATATGGCATGCACTTAGTCGCTCACAAGAGACTACCCCTGCCACCGTTCTTAATATGCATGTTATGTAATATATATTTGTATATAGTAAATTAGGTTGGTTTTTTTTCCTCTCTTTTTTTGGAGGAGGTGCGCCTAGCATGGGTCTCGTTGTCCCGTTTGCGCTATCCCCTTTGGACTTAAACTTGTAAATGTTTCTACTATACGTAGTTGTCCAATAAAGCTGATAAACTATAAATTAAATTAAATTATACTATACTATAGCGGATACATAGGCAAAAGGTGTGTATAGATGATTTCTAGATGTCGCACTTCTAAACTAGTGTTTCTTCAAAGTTTTAATTTTTAAATTAATATTTAAAAGTCCCTGCTACAAATCCTGCAATTTGCCAGGAAGCAAGGACCGAAAAAAATTGTTTGCGCTAGTACAACGCAAAAAAGAATATTGAAGTAATGTAATGATGGTAATGAAGTTGATGCTTGTTTATATGTAACGATACTGCTATAAGGATTGTGGGAGAACACCGCGGGAAAATGTCTGCGCATGCGTGGAAACAAAAAGATGGCGAGGAACTTAAATGCAAAATTATAAACAAAAACAGGACTATTTAATTATTTAATTAAGGTAATTGAAAAAACAAAAAATACACTAGACTAAGTTTTCTAACATTTTAAAGCTAAACAGAAACAGAATTTAAATAAAAAATTATCGGGAGGCGTGTGAACATTTCTTGAAAAATTGTCGAATATCGAACTTAAGGGCCATTCCATTTAAAATCCCCCCCCCCCCCC